CAGCCGTCGCTATGGAAGGATTATTGTCTAGCCATAGAACAACATCTGCAATTAGGCTTCATCGAGGAAGTAAGCGAACACGTTACAGACAGTCATCTCGTTTACTACATCCCGCATCAAGCCGTCTTCAAGGAATCCTCAGCTACCACCAAGCTGAGAATAGTATTCGATGCTTCTTCGCACATGAGAGGATTTCCGAGTTTGAACGACTGCCTCTACGAAGGACCATCCTTGTTGCCGGAGATAGCAGGAATACAACTTCGAGCACGGCTACACAATTACCTTCTCATCGCCGACGTGGAAAAAGCATTCCATCAGGTTCGACTTCAAGTCTCTCAACGAGATGTGACACGTTTCCTGTGGCTGAAAGATGTTAATAGACCTCCAGACAAGGATAACTTGCGTTACTTTCGTTTTACAAGGATCCCATTCGGTGTCAAGTCATCCCCATTCGTATTGGCCGCGTCCATTAGGATCTATCTTCGCCACATAAGCTCACCTCTTCGTACAGAGATTGAGCGAAATACGTATGTGGACAACGTCATCCTTGGTGCTTCTTCGCGTGACGAAGCGCTGCAGAAGTACAGGACGGCGAAGTCCATATTCGACCACATGCACATGAATTTGAGGGAGTTCTTGTCCTCATCGAGGAGAGTCAATAAACAGATAGACCCAAAGGACCGCGCCAAGGAACCAGACCACACGCTATTGGGAATTACGTGGTCGCCTGAACGGGATACGTTTGCTATACCAATCAGGACCTTGGAGCACCCAGTAGTTTCTAAACGTACAGCTCTTAGAGCTTATGCATCCACATATGACCCTCTAGGACTTCTGACTCCTTTTATGGTTCCTTTCAAGCTATTCGTACAGGATCTGTGGCTGAAAAAGCTTGGATGGGACGACCAATTGGATGAGGAAATGCAAAAGGAGTGGCGACGTATCTGCCAAGATGTACAAGATCCGTTACCACCCCTTCCTAGACGAGTGACCACACGCAGGGTGCATACATTCGATTTGTGCATCTTTGGAGATGCTTCTAAACGAGTGTTTGCTGCTTGCGCATATTTGATAAGCCGAGTCCACAATGCAACTACTTCACACCTCATCATGGCAAGATCACACCTCAACGAGCCCACACCAATCACCATACCAAGGATGGAATTATTGGCAGCCAGAAGCTGTGTCTCTCTAGCCGAATACCTGCAAAAAAAATTGGACCTTAAGATCTCGTCCATCCACATGTTTCCAGACTCCCAGATTGTGCTCTATTGGATCCATTCCACCAGGCCACTGAGACAATTCGTCCATAATCGCGTAACTTTTATTCGTAAGACCGTTAAACAGCTTCAAGATTTAGGAATCGACGTCAAGTTCCACTACGTTGCTTCCGAAGATAATCCAGCGGATCATGCTACACGTGGTCTAGCGACGAAGGAAGCTGCTGATCATGTTTGGTGGACAGGACCATCGTTCATTCGTCGACCTCCTGAAGATTGGCCTAACAACGATATGGACTTTACGATCCCGCCCGTAACAACTGCGGAGCAGGAAAAGGAGTTCACACAGGTATTACTGGTTAGAGATGATTCACGTTTCGGTTATTCCATTCCTCGCCACGAACGGTTACATGAAGCTTTTGCGGATTACCGTTTACATCCTTCGATCTTTGCGATGTAGGATTGTCGAGCATCTCACATTCGCGAGTGGGCAACTTCTCTACAAGGCAATTCCAAATTTATCTCAAATTTCGCCCGCCGGTAATATTACGGCACAAGACATTGCCTTAGTCGAGAACTTGGTTATTCGTGAACATTATCGCAAATCGAGTCATCTTTTGGAACGTTTTCGACTCCAGCGATTCAATGCGCATTGTGACGGAAACGGACTAATAAGGTGTCCTGCGCGAATGGAAAAGGCTTATCGCACAGCACCCATATTACTGGTGCCATCCCACAGGCTAACGTCTCTCATTGTACTCTATACCCATATTACGTCTTACCATCAAGGCACTTATGGGACGATAGCGCAATTGTGCCGACGCTTTTTCATACCATCTACACGCCGTACAGTGGATAGGATCTTACGTACATGTGTCGTTTGCAAGAAAGCTAATGGTCCAGCATACCGCTATCCGGATATGCCAAGCTTACCCGAAGAGCGAGTAAAGAGATTCAGACCATTTCAGAACATAGGTTTGGATTACCTCGGACCAATTGCCTATAGAGACAACATCGGGATGAAGGCAAAGGCATGGATTTGTTTGATCACTTGTATGGCTACGAGAGCGGTTCACTTCGAGGTTGTCAGTTCTTGCTCTACTCAGGACTTCCTACTAGCCTTTCGCAGATTTGTCGGACGACGAGGAACACCAGACGTTATTTACAGTGACAACGCGAGTACATTCCACGCAGCAGAGGATGCCATTAACAACTTATTTTTTGCTCCTCACTGTAGGAATGACATTTACAACTTTGTCACTAACCACAGGGTCACTTGGAAGTTCATTACTCCAGTTTCCCCCTGGAAAGGAGGTTTCTATGAGAGACTAGTTGCCCTGTTTAAGTCCGCATTTGAGAAGACCGTAGGAAAGTCGAGACTGACATGGGAACAACTGCGAACGATAGTTGTGGAGATAGAAGCTGTCATTAATTCTCGCCCTATAACACCTTACAGGGAGAAGGACGTTTCTTTTCGCATCCTACGACCGATCGATTTCATCTCGCCGGAAGTCAGTCTTCAGCTACCCTCGCAAGAACAGGATCACGACATTGCTGTCGATGGACATAGACTAGCAGATTGGTATAAGGAAACCCAAGTTATCCTAGTTTCTTTCTGGGAAGTGTGGCGTACCGATTACCTCTCTGCCCTTATCCAACGCCATCAATGCCGTTTAAAACAGTCACGATATACGCCTGAACATCCACAAGTGAACGATCTCGTGATTATTGCGGAAGACAATGTGCCCAGAGGACAATGGAAGATGGGAATTGCGATTCGACTATGTGGTGTTAATCATAAAAGCGTGAGAGTAGCGGAGGTACGACTGCCGAATGGAAACATCCTCAAGAGGCCTCTATCTAGGCTATATCCCCTGGAAATCCGCGCGAAAGATGATCACACACCGATAGTTGAGCACAAAAGAACGTCCTATAGACGTAAGCCTTCCACATCGCCTACGAGGATACAGCCTCCTCAAAAGGCCAAGTCTTTATCCCCATTTGCACGTTATCATTGACGGGCTTCATTACACAGCATAGCAGCACAGTGTAGCATGTGTCTTTAACATGCTCTAGTCACATGCGTTGCGGTTGCAAGCGCGGTCTTTATCGCGCTCCACATATGCCTAAGAGAGAGACTGGTCCCGCCACGAATGGAAGATAGCCAGCGTGTGCGACGAATTGCATCATGCAATTGCGGCTCCAGATGGTTTTTTTCTCGTTTTCGCGTTATGTGTTCTTCATTTGTTTCTTTCTTTCTTGTTTTTGTCTCCTTATCACTCCTCATGAGCCACATCTATCCTCTATATCCTATCTGTTCTGATTTTTCGTCTTTGTTTTCCTCTTGATGCAAAATTATGCGTGGCTCATACTTTTTGGACATTTCTCTCCAATTTTTCTCACATTCACTCTCTTTTCATTCTATCATTCCTTTCTTCTTTTTTGTGTTAGTTGTGTAACGGTGCATCGTGGAACTAACATCTTCACATGTATCTATTCCGTCTACATACGTAGATTTCTTGTTTTGTGAGTATTGATTATTGCGAAATCCACATTTGACTCTTGTGTCCACACTTGTTTAACTTAACCTCACATGTCATAACCTAATAACCGCATGCTACTAACACAAATCACCTTAACCCTAACTCACATTCTCTTTTTCTTCCTCTATTGTGACTTGTGCTTCTATTTTCTTGTTTCTTTCTTATCCCTCTCATTCTCATTCTCTTTACTAACCTTAAGTGAGTTCGTTGTGCTTACGTGCGATGTGCTCTCTTACTCCTGTCATTCTCTCATTCTTTCAGGGTAAAGCGATAACGAGTAGACTGACCATCTACAGCGATGACAATCTGGAAAACTAAGACTAGGCGAGGCGAACCGGTGAGGAAGTGGGAGAGTCTGCTACAACATCGCGGACAGGAACGATCTCTTTCGAGATCGCGGTCGCGGTCGCCGTCGCAGTCGCCACGGAGAGAGCCGGGTGAGAAAGAGTAGCTGAGCGAAAGCTCGGTGGATCCTTCTCTCCTGGCTGAAGTGATTCGTGAGCTTGCCGTCGTGCAAGCACAGGAGCCGTCACGTCCCCCAGAGGTACTGCCCTCAGCTGACCTTTCGCAGGATCCGTCGCCGAACATCAACGATCCCCACACTCGTGCACCCACAATGCTCGAGCTAATTTTAGGGATTGCGAAGGGACACAACGTCAATAGACGATTCAGCTGCGATGATGATAATGACACCCAAGCCTTCGCGGTACCAAGGACGTATAGACCAGCACTGCAGCTACTCCACCAGCTGACAGTAGCTCTCTCCCCAGCACGTGTGTTTAGTCCCACGCAGCTGGGCCACAGCGACTTAGTCGCCATTGACGCCTTCCTTCACGACGATCTCTTTGGACATATCCGAAGCATATTCACTAAGGAGATATATCCAACGAAGGCGGAAGATCTACAAGGCGCGAAAGCCGAACATCTGCCTGCGCTACTGATCTCAGGCCATCTCAATGGAGTCGTTGAACTTACTGCGCAAGCCACAAGTTACTTACAGGAGTTAGCTCATAGGCCGCAACCGAATCCTGACGCTTTGTTGGATCGCATGGCTGACCTTTTTCATTACATTCATAACATCAATTACAGACGCCAGGCGATCTCAACACAGCTTACAGCGATTTTGTTTACGCCAGTTGACGAGCTCCAGCGTAAGCTGAACTTGTTGGCCACTTACGGCGTAACCTTGGAGAAGATCGTATCCAACAATTACGCCGCAGCCGCAGCCGTAGCCCAAATGGTGAAGGCCCATGACACCTATCACGATATCCTGAAGGAACATCTGATGACCAGGAACATTGGCCAGGGTAGATCGGTAGCCCCCAGTGCGACAGCACAGAAAGTGGTTCAGCAAGCTATTGCAGCTGCGCCACCGCCGTCGGAGGCTAAGGCAAAACCGCCTCAGGCTGAGCCTCAATCGACGACGTCGAATCCACAGCAGTCGAGCTCTCAACAATCGCTTGATGAGACACCTCAATTGCCATCAGTATCCACAGCACACTTCGACCCGGAACCTAGAAGTTTCGCCAATAGGGAGGTTTCTGCAGCGTCATCAGCACCTTCTTCTCCTCCTCGACAGCCCGCCGCCCCCAGGATGGGGCCCTACAGCCCATTCTACGAGAGCGTCAGGAGCAACGTGAGGAGCCTATGGAAGTGGTCCCGGTCGAAGTGGGCTATCGTGAGCCTGAGGACCAGCGTAGAGGTCAGCAACCGGAAGAGACACACATCCGCTGCTACTTCTGCAGACAACGTCACTTCTCGTCGGGTTGCCCGGTGTATCGACATCTATCGCAGAAGATGGAGATCAATGCGAGGCGCGGAGGGTGTTTTCTTTGTTGCGACCGACACGCTGAGGAAGAATGTCCCTTCCGTGGGAGGAGATGCAGAGGATGTAGGTCCAAGCACCACGAGACATCCTTCTGCTTCAACAACCGCCATGGGATCAACGACATCGATCCAGAGGATTATCGCCGGCGTTTAGAGCAGTATAAGGCCTTGGCGGAACTACGGCGTAGAGGGGACAGGGGGCCTAGAGAGCCCCGCAGGTAAGTTTGTTTTTAGTTGTAAGTTTTTACCCTATGTTACTTTCTTTCCACAACTTGCGATTTTTTTAGTGAGCCTTAAGCTCACTCTTTTATTTTGTCGTCAACTTTACTTTAGGTTGACTGGGGAGGCACTCATGGGGAGTGCCATGGGTTTTGGTTGTTTGCCACAGTGAACTTGTCAAGGACTTGCCCACAATTTACGGTTTTTTAGTTTATACTTTTGTTTTATTGTTTTGTTTTCGGTTTTTGTTTTTCGGCGAGCCTTAAGTTCGCCACCTTTTTGTCGCTAACCTTAATTTAGGCTAGCTGCAATGGCCACATTTTGCGTTGACCCACAACTGACGATTTTTGGGGCCACGGTGGGAGACCGTGTTGATTGCCTTTTGTTTGTTGGGATTCCCCTTTCTTTTGAGCTTGACTTGACCCAGGGTTCTTTTGAGTCGTAAGGAAAATCTCCCCCTCACTGTCTAAATTCTTCCCCTTGGCGTGAAAACCGCGCCCGTAGGCTAAATTAAAACTTTTGCATCGTCGACACCTGCCGTTCAGTCTATGTCAAGCTGCTGTACGTCACGTTATCAAGAAGATCCACGTCAACGTCAAGTCATGGTCGAATGGTTAGATGCCGATACCACAACTTCCGCCAACGTCGATTTCGATCGCCGTCAACACAAGTGTCGTTCCTCAACTGCCGAAGACCCACCAGAAGTCCCGACGTAGAGCCCCCGACGACTCTTCATGCTATCCCGTGAGACAACCGGCTGTCACTACGATACGCGGTAGGCCAGCGCGCGTACTAGGGTTACTTTTACTCGTAGATATGTGTGTACGTTTAACCCGTAGTCGTAGGTAAGATGGTGAACTGGAGCCTACCTCGGAACCTTTTTCTGCCGCCCGGAGTGTCGCGGATTGCGCGACTTCCTTATAGGGAGTTTGCCACCGCAAAGCGATGGGTCCTAAAACGCCAGTCCTCGCGCTGCCCCGCCTCTCGTTCCCACGTCTAACTTCGCACAAGTCACGCATTCTCCCACATTTGTCCAGCAGCGAGCGGCCGACACCTCAACTGTCTATTGATCGATCGAGCAGCGCACCTTTCGAGCCAGCGATGTTCAACACCTGCACGCTAGGAGGACTGGCACCTGCACCGAGGTAACCCGGCTGTGCGCTCCTTTCTTGCCGCAGGGCTGAGGAGCCACTTCGCGGGGGGTTTCTTTTTACCGACCCCTAGGTGAGATCTTTGGCCGGTGTGTACTCTGCCCATTGTATTGAGTTGCTTGTGTGTTGGTTCATTTAGGGATAAATGGTGGGCACTTAGAAGTGTAGTGTTTTGACTCTTGTGGTAGCCATAGGCTCAGACCTTGGCACAGTTATATCTGTATGCTGTTGTGTTTCTTGTATACTCATGTCTTGTGAAGATCCATCCGTCGGAAGACCAGGCACGAGGCTAGCTAGTGCCCCAAGTTGCAAGTAGACACAAGTGTCCTTGATGAACGGCTCGAGATGGCTGGCAGTAGGCATTAGAGGGTTGGTTGGTAGCTTAGGGCCTCTGATTCGTGTGCGTTGTGCTCGTGGCAGGCCATAATAGCGTGGAGCAGATTAGCTACCTTTCCCCAAGTGTCGTTGTTCTATCTCACGGATGGCGTCCTCCGCTCCTGTCGCCGATGCAGGAGAGCACGTTACCACTGACGTCTGGAGCGGGGGATCCCAATCCGCGACACACATTTCTACAGCGGTCATATACACAATGTGAATGATGGAACGTTTTAAAGCTGTAGAATGCGCATATGTAGCGTGGACAAGTATATTTTTAGAGCTTTCCTTTCGGTACCATTTGATTCAAACAGCACCATCAGATAGATTTATCTGGGTATTTGAGAAGGAAAACCAACCATTGTGCGGAGTCTCTCGTGTAAGCTTAATGTATTTGCGACTGCTCGTTTAAAATCCTAAGGCATTCATCCATCTCGGACTGCGTGGATATGACGATGCAGCAGTCGTCGATGTAGCGGCAATACATTAACGGCAATCGTGCGAGTACATCAGGAAGCGATTGATCAGGAATAGATTGTATGACGTAGATTGTATATCAGAAGAATGCATCGTCTGCCCTTATGGGAAACTAGGCGGTTGCGCAAAGAAAGGGACTGTTTATCAGTTGGAATGCCTCGACTTTAGCACGACGTGTATAGGAGAGAGGGAAGAATTCTAAGTGTTAGAATGAAAGAACACCTGACTAACAAAAGACGAGAAATCTGTCAGCACCAGGGCAAACATAAGATCGAGGCACATGATGGGAGTGATATTAATGTGAAATGTACAATTCTAGAGCACGAGGTTGAAATTTCCTCACGAAAATTACTAGAAGCCGTGTGGATACACGCCGGAAATCCGGGAATGAACAACAAAAGTAAACGCAAGACAAAATGTAACCTTAAATCACACAGTATGTATAATCCAAGACTCGTTGAGCGACTTCAATGATGTCCGTCACGTCCGTGCGGACTACTGCTCCATGGTGGACTGGAGGTTGGTGAATCTTGGATTATTTCTTTGCACGTTGCGCCTCGAAAGGTTCAAACGACGGATTGATGAGGAATATTAACCGCAATCCACTTTCAGACTTCCTAAGAATACGATGTTTGTCGAACGTAAGGTTAACAGTTAAGATCTACCACAAAACGTGGTTGGCAGAACAACACTATACAATATTCGACACATCATGTCCCGGTTTCAAGAAGAGATTACGTGGAAATAAAGATCATATTCAGAAGAAACATAAAGATTGAGCAGAAGGAACGATGCACAGTGCTTGCTAGTTCAAAGCATACAATCAGAGAAGTAGAAGAAGAAAGCATCCATTGCAATGAAGCACGCTTTAGGCACACCAACAAGTGATCGAAACAAATCATGACAACAATCACAAGCTGTAAGTGGATAGCACCAAGTTAATGATGCTACACATTAGAACTACAGGAAAGCTCTATTAGCAATTCTCTTCACAGACTGCACTAAATCTTGCGCGGAATTCAAGTCCCTGGTGGCTGTTGCGCTTGCGGCGAAAACTACAAGTCGCTGCTGCGACGCCAATCATCGTAGGCTTGTCGGTTCGAATTCGTCCAACAAATAGTGTAAAGAAGCTTCATCAAATTTGCGTAATCCCTATTAATAACAAGCATCACCTTATCGTATTATGGGACACTATCACACCACTCAACTCGATTCTCTAAATCCAGAAAGTTTGTTATATGTCCACGTCGATATATAAAAATAAAGTGTGTACATATTGAAAGAATATTTCTGCGCATAGTTAAGCAGAGGAACTGTTCGCACGAGAGATCGCTTCAAACTTCGTCTTAGTCATCCTTGTAGAACTTGATTCAAATCAGAGAGAGAATTAATGAGATTCATAATCTTTTCGGGTGCCCTGCTAACAGAGAAAATCCGTGGAAGGTATTCTGAAATAAGAACGCGATCGCAACATTAGGAAAAGCCTAGAAGTTGTTGCAGAGCTGCACAATCATTTCTAATGTGTATTAAATTAAGCCCACTACTTCATAAATATTCAAAATCAAGTTTTTTGATATATCTTTCATATGAAAGGTCGCTTTCCTATAAGTGTGGATTGCCAATCAATACCAAGTAAAGTTTCAAAGTTTCTTGAAGCTCGTTTAGATTTGTCGAAAGGGCAAGCAAATTCTACGACTGTCATTTGAATATATAAACACGAGCTTAGAAGCTTTTTAAACCAGGTGTTCGTTGCAGCAAATCGGCTTTTGATGCTTCCAAAAGTAAAAAAAAATACAGGGAATCTTTTCTTCAAATGGGACGACAGTTTATAGGTGCTGAAAATGTTTCATACTTCAAGGCGTAGCTTTAAAAAGAAATTCAAAAATCAGAGAGCGCAACAATCGAAAAAAAGAACAAGTGAAAGTGGGTTTTTAGTGATGCCCAATTTTCGTGCAGACTTTCAAGTTTTTTACGAAATTGTCTTCGTAATCAACGGGAATAGAAGCCGTTTTGGGGAATGGTAGTGGGCGAACATGCACACGATACGCGAAACTTCAGACAGTTTCGTCAACAAAAGTGCTAGTTACCGTGGTCTACAAGGGAAAGGATACTTGGTCGAAGTGCAGTCTCCATATGAGATGTATACCGTCTCATAGAGCATGTGTAGCCTCATAGAGCATGGAGCGCTGATTCCAGGTCTGCTATCGTTACCTGCAAAGCGTTTCTAGAATTGGTGTTACAAAAAGTTTTTCAGGCATGTATTCAGTGTTTTGGCTAAGGTAAAAACAAGCGTTGGGGTCTTCCGGCGCTAGAGTGGTGTGATGAACCAGCATAGATTTGATAAGCTGGAGGTAATAAATGCGTAAAGGGTCCTAGCAGTAATCATGGCCTTATTTGAGCTCACAGACTACAGCTCTGAACAATTTTGTTTGTAACTGCGCAATGAAATTTTTGTTTCCTAGAATTTCCATAACTCCTCTCCTAAAAGCGCTATGCAAATTCCGAAAGCGGATTCGCATTCGGCGTTCCGTGCTCTATAAGATAGTATACTTTCTAGGAAACGCCACTTCGATTGAGTAACCTCCCCTTGTTAGACTGGATTCATAGTGAGCCCTGCATCAGGTTTTACTTAAGTGTTTATTTCGAAGGTACATGCCTGTTGTACAGTGGAAAGGATAAGTAACGTTCGTTTCCAGTTTCAGATGCGGTGGGTCCTGCTCTTGGTACTATTGTGTTGGTGTGCTCCTCACATCACTTTATCAAGCGAAGGCTTGGAGAACATAGGCTCATCAGCAGGCAATATTGCGTCGGAAATTCTCATAAATTCGATCAATTTCTCGGTTAGTTAAATGAATCTGCTTGCAAGATTTTACAGTCTTTATTGCATTTTAGGTAAATCCATGCGAGGATTTCTTTGAATTTTCTTGTGGTAACTGGATAGCTCAACATCCAATACCCAAAGACAAAGTTGGCTATTCACAGTTCGAAATGCTCTCTGACAAAGTCCAAGCGCAAATGAGAGGTACTGCCCTTTGCACAACTGTTGTTACCCTCGCTCTGCTCCGCAACTGCTCTACGCTCGCGCCTCTGGCCTGACGCATAGCTAATGTTTTGGCAACACGCCAACTCTATATTGTCGCTGACGTTAAAGGCATCGTACACCCAAAATCTAACTTACCTAATTTTCTAGATTTTTCTATATCGTGTATATACTGGGCCCAGAAGAAAATCAACTGCGTTGGTCCGGTCTCCCAATGTTGCTTCTAAGCGGAGAAAACCCCCCTTAGTTTTCTTTCACTCCGCCCCTTTTCTTTCACTCCGCCTCCTCCGGACGAATCCACGACAGAGTAAGCTGCAGTTGCAGTTGCAGTTGCAGTTGCACCTGCTGTTACAAACGCAACAGCAGATGCCAATTGTTTCTTGCGTTCTGCCTCCTTCGGACGATGAATCCACTACAGCATACGCAGCATTTGCAGTTGCAATTACAGGTGTCATGCTGTTGCAGCTGCTTTTCGATTGCATTCCGAGCAGTTAAGAACTCGTCTTCCCCTGAAGAGAGGGTCCTCGGAAATCGGAGTTTTTGGGAGTTTTGGAGAATTTCAATGTCATAACTGTAATCAGTGGCACGGAAAGGCCCCAGAATGACAAAAACATCGAAGGTGAAATTTTGGGTCTACGCTGCTTTAACAGCCAAAATGTTTAGCCAACATATTATGCACCCGCCATATATGATCATTTTGATTCACTTGATTTGGTAGACCGCTTGATCCGCATCATGCAAAACGCGCGCACACAGCAGTTTTTTTTTGGCGCCGCGTAGCTAAAAAGGAATTTTGTATGGTTAAGCAGATTACGCAGAGCGCACGGACAAATCAATGATGCGCGTTTCGTATAAAGCGGATTAAGCGGATCAAGCGGATCGAGCGGATCAAGTGGATCAAGAGAATTAAGTATGACAGATGCCTTACCCACACTTGAACAAGAGTGACGCAAAGTATAGTAACAAAAACTGTGAAAGATACATGCCGCAGGCCGGAGGGTAAAAGCAACTTTAGAAAGGACGATATATAACAAGATAAATGGGAATTTGCAAAAACTTGCACAGGCCGCATTGTTCAGCTCTATACACACGAAGCATTATCGGCAGTGAAAAATGCACGTACTTTTCCTTTATCCTGAGTTTTTTCAAAAAAGTGCTCCTTTCTTTGCACCCAATTAGTCCCAAACTCACAAGATTGTCAACCTCTTGCTACGTCGTAAAGTGTCATCTAAATGTTCAACAAGTGAGTTTTCCATAGCCTACCTACCTATTCAGTCCATTGTGTCTACAATAAATATTCAGCCCCTTTTTTAATTCAACAACTCAAAAAATAAATCAAAAACCGAACTTAGAGTAATGTCATTTTGTTTTTATGGATAAATTGTATTTGCACAGAACCCAAAGATGTGCTAAGGTTTTATCATTTGAGCAATGAGATACTTTACACCATCATATGGATAACTGTGGAGGAGATTATTCTTAATGCATTGCTAAAAGCGATCAAGATGCTCCATGCGCCTTCTGGAATGTTTTGCTTGATGAAACTGAATGCTCTAGTTTCAACATGAAGGAGTATAAAAAACCTAAGTCTACTTTTTTCTAACACGTGGAAGTTAGAGAGTTTCCTCAGAATCCACAAAAAATTTCATTCGAACTGAATATGTATCTTATGAGAACTCTCCCGAAAAATGAATCCGATTAACGAAAAATGCCCAAAAGCGTGAACTTACTTCAAAGTTGCTCTCTTTGTTGATTTAGCAAGATCGAAACTTTTTGATTTCCCATGCCTAATTTTGCATTGAATTTTGCGATTTTCTTGAATAAATTCTTGAGACATATTCGAATCAAATGAAACGTTCGGATCGAAATCTATGAATGCTGTAAAGTACATCTACAAAAAATGTATGGACAAGGACGAGCTGAATCGCATTGGTGCGAGACGAGTTATAGAACGCATCCGAGTGAGTCACATGAGGCCATAGACAAGTTTGAAAATGGTTACCTTAGGGTTTTGGTGTTTGGCCCATTTTGGAAGGAGATGAAAACTGGAGAGAGGAGGATTTTGATCTAACATCGCTGCTGATCCACTTGAAACAAATGCGTGATTTCGACGTGTTCGTCAAGTTCGGCATTGGTCCTGACTACAAAAATGCCTCTCGCTATCTCATCACGGTTTGTGATTTTTGTATGCGCAAGAAAAGGTCACAGAATGAAATTTCGGTGCCTGTATGAAGCACTTTTGAGATAAACAATTATAATTCAAGGACAAACTCAAGTTTTGCGAGATTCTGACTTCTCTTCTAGCAAATGTCCAGTTGTAGTGGTAAGGTCTTTTGAGTAGGAATGGAGATTCCTGTTAGTTTGATCTATGCAATTAGGTTACGACCAATGCCATTTGATTTGTTTGCTCGAACCAGTTGCAAAAACCGGACGCTGTGATGAGCTATTGAACTCCATAAAGAAGAATTTTTCAAGACATTATGGAAATGCTCTGTTTTTCTTAATTTTCCTCAACTTTCTCCAATGATACTATCATGGAACCTCTTTGCTGAACGTATCCACTAATCTTGGCAAAGAATATAATTTGAGCTGAAAACGATATTCTCTAACCCTTGTTTTCAATTGCAAGAGTACAGGTTTCTCACCTTATAATATGATGAATCTCTTAGGCGTTGTTAACGTTTACACAGAGAGCGATCTATTTCTCAAAGGAAATCTGCAATCCGCTTGAAAAAAGGGCTTTTCCAGTGGCAACTTTACTTGGGAAGCAGAGATTTATGTGGGAAAGCAAGCTTCATTGAGAAGATATGCATCGGCCCTTGCTAATATAAGAACATTTTCAGGCCGCCCATTTACAGCGTTTTACAATTAATACCTTGGTATAAAAAGTACCCTAATTTCACGCGTATAAGACGCACCTTTTTTGTTTTTCAAGCGTGCCGCTCAGCCGCCTCGTTGTGTTTCGGAAACGAGACTTGTGCCGCACGATACTTTCGAGCAATATGCAGCACTGTGAATAGTTTTTTGGTCGCGAATCCTTCGGGGTGTCTGTGCTGTTCAATTTTAGAAAATAATTCCCGCATCTTATACGCGTGAAACTAGGGTAATTTCTCAAGCTCACATGACTTTCTTTTTTAGATTTAGACAGTGCTTCTAATTTTGATTTTATAGTTCTATCAAGACGACCCGAGCGAAACTTTGGAAGAGTATATCTCGGGGAGAGGAATCGAGAGAGAAATCCACATCGAGGAGGTTAAGCTCTTAAAAGTAATGTTTTTTTTTGCTTTTCTTTCTTTTTGCCATCTTCCGCTACAATTGCTTCCATTTCGTAGCCCATGCGCAAAGTGCGCACTATAAATAAGTAGTGGTGCTAGTTTGAATTAAAAAAAATTTCCATAAGATATACTGCGAATACAGAAAAGTGCTCGGTTTTTTTTTTCGGAGAGTGCGAAAAGTGGATTTATTGAGAATTTTTGATTCCTTCATTTTTGGAAAGAAAATCGTCGTTTTCTAGCACTCCATATACTGTGTCCATTCCTACTAAACCGAGCAAAACTTTGTTAATCACTTTCTTTAAGAGGTTTTATGCTGAATAGAAACCGCTGCGGCTCGTCAAGTTAATTCTAAATTTCTCGGCTCAAAATCCAGGGTGTCCCAAAAGTAAGAACACACTTTTCAATCGTTAGTATCTCTCTTCCCATTGTGTCTTTTTCCACCGTTTGAGTACCATTCTGTAGAGGAGGCTTCAACTTACAAGGGAACCGTGTCGAGTCGAAGTGGCCTTTCCAGATGAAACCCATACTGCTTTGAAGAGTATTAAGCGGTGATTTCAAATCTGCCTTCCAAATCTGCCAAGCGCCTCTGGACGCCGAGTTATGACCGTTTTTGGGAACGAAAATTGAATGCAGAATTTAGGTAAAATTGATTGTTACAATCTTTCCAGCGCTCAGATAAAGCAATGTTAAGTATTAGCATATTATATAAAATGTATCCATTGCATAAACAGCTCTGATACTTGACACTGGACCATCTGAGCAAATTTGGGCGATTTTGCTTCAGTTTTGCCTTCAATTTTTTGACCTGAAAAACGGCCATAACTCGGCGTCCAGGGGCGCTTGGCAGATTTGGAAAGCAGATTCGGAATCACCGATTAATGCTCTTCAAAGCAGTATGGGTCTCATCCGGAAAGGCCACATCGACTCGACACGGTTTCCTTGTTAGATTTGCAGTATCGAGCAAATCGCTGATCCCTCTTCGTTACTGTAGGATAACTGTAGAAACTTCGACAGGGATTTCAGGCCATTGGAAGCCATATTCTGCCTTGGAACAAAACCAAACAAGCTAAAAACTCTTATACTAAGGTAATGGAGGTCGCTGATTTCAAATATGAAATTTCCATTTACTATGATGCTTCTTTTTAAAGTTATCCCAGGTAAACCGTAATATCCAAATTCTCAATATCTGTCAGAAATGTGATTACACCGTCAAAAAAAGCTGAAAACACTCATAAAAAGTTGTGCAGTGGAATTAGCGTGCGCGAAAACCCTAGTACACTGTTTTTCAGATTTTTTTGAAAAAAAAATTTTGTTAGATGACATATTTCACAATAGTTCTACTTGCTAGAAGTTCTTACCGTAATCCTACAGTGATGAAGAGCGGTCGTGATTCGCTCAATACTGTGAATCTAAATTGAAGCCTCCTCTACAGAACGGTACCTAAATGGCGAAAAAAGACCCATTGGGAAGAGAGATATTGACGACTTAAAAGTGTGTACTTACTTTTGAGATACTCTGTATTTCAAAACCTTATTTCCAAACGTGCTTGTACCAGTATACTTCGCAAACGTCATGCATCTGGCATTTTGTTGAATTTGCACAAATTCAGTGCAATGAGACCGCTAAGAAGAACCGTGTGTTGCTCATTTGGAAATATGTTATTTGAAACTAAGCAGCACTTGGGAAAAAACGAAGGCATATAAATCTGGCAGAAATGCTTTTTTTCTTTTGTTTTCAAGGTTTATAAAAAAATCTATTTTTTTGAAGAACAGTGTTTTTAGAAGGCGTAACAAAACATGCATCGATTATTTTAAAAAACCTAGTAGATAATCCATCTACAGTTTTCAGGAGCTCTTAAACTTGAATCGTTCGATTGAAGACGCCACAAGGATGTTAAAGGCTGTGAAAAATTCTTATATCAGCATGGTGAACGCTTCCAAAAGGCTATAGAATTTACTCAAATTTTTACAACTAGGTCGAGCTATTCCAAAGAGATGGCGATTTCCCTATAAACAGAACAAAGGTTGAGAAAGACGTTGAGGAGATAATGGATTTGGAAATGAAGATGGCAAAGATACTTGTTCGTAAGGAGGATCGCAAAAACTACACTAAGTATTATCATCTAAGTCATCTAAGTGATATGAACAAACTTGTACCTCTGGTGGGTGCATCGCCAAGTCAAAGCACTGCTTAAATTAGTTGTTTATTCAATGAACTTTTCTTTAGGTGGACTGGACGCGTTTGCTCCTTGCCGTCGCTCCATCTGCTTCTCATCAATACCTTAAATCAAATCCAGAAATCTATATTGCAGATATTGACTATTTGAAAGGGTAGAACACCCTTCATGAAACAGCTATGGTTCCGCATATTACCTAGTAGAGCACATTCAGATACGCAAGCTTTTGCAATCGACAAACGCTCGTATAATCACAAACCTTATTTTTATGCATTTCGCTTCGAAGTACGAGCGAGAACTGGGAGAAAAATATGAAGACATTGTACAGGTCTGAGACATTCTTTAGAAGGATTTCAAATGTGATTAGCTTAGCGCGCCATAAGCTCAGAGTCAAAAGTATGAGAATTTTTCAAATTCTAGGAACGCGACAAAGCAACGCTCGGCAAGCAGCAAAATGAACCACGATGGATGGATTGTACCAGGAGCACTGTGCAACTTCTGAAATACGCGACCAGTGCCATATACGTCAAAAAAGCTTTCGATCAGGTTACTCCAAAAAAATGACAAAACTTTTTTGGTATCACTGTATTTGATAATTTAGTCTTCAAAGAACCTTACAATAGAAATGACCGATGATTTATTGGAAACATTTCGAGAAATTCTGGGCACCAACGGTTGGATGGACAATGGAACCAAAGCTGTAAGGCGACAAATTAAATGAGAGGCCTAGACATAATCACTGCAGGCAGCTTTGGACAAGGCGAACCAATTGTTGTCTCAGGTAGCTTATCCCGAATTTATCCTAGATGACGAAAAACTCGACCAGTATTATGACGGCGTAAGTTTTTTTGCTGATGTTTAATCCAGAAAGCGTACATGTCGCTTCAGCTGGATGTGCATTATACTGATTCGTACAGTGAGATGCTGGAAAAAGTAGAACGACAGAAGATTGAATTTTGGTTCAAAATGCTTACAAAACCTGCGAGTCATTCCGATCTTGAATCAAGCTCTGCCACTGTGGCCCCTATCTACATACCCACAACCAACTCTTTTAGTAAGACTGCAAAGTCTCATTCATTTACTCATTTTATCATCGGTACTTCCAGGAATTCCCGCTGCCATTCTTCAAGCTCCGCTTTTTCACCACACTTTTCCCAGGTGGTTCTTGACTAGCTCATTGCTGTAAAAGATTCTGCATCGAATGTACATACATTGACGAACTGGTTATTCGAATAACGCCATCTTGAGAGAGTCATAAAGTCAACAGATTTTTGATTTGCTCCTGTTTAATGTACGAAAATCTCTTGCTAGTAGAAAACAAAATGGAGTTTGTTGATAGAGTTCTACGTCGTCTTCACCAAAAGCTCTTTTCTGGCGAAGGCCTCGGTTCAATGTGCGAAGCGGCTGCGGCTCGCGTGTCCGAGTCGCTTATCATTGGAGTTGGTAGACTCACGCACGCCTCGCGCGCAAGGGCGGCCGTCTTGGTCTTGGATTAGCTTTCAAACTAATTGGTTGGGACTCTTGAAAATAGCACAAGGAAGATTACCGATGAAGCATGAGGAGGCAGTTAAACGCTGTTTCAGCCTTAATCAAAACAAGATCACCTTTTTTGTATTTCTGCATAGATCACCTAGATATATCGCCCATAATTCGTCAAAAAAGTCGCCGAAGTGCGCTGCATTGCGCCAGTGAGCGGCGGAATGCGCCGCACATACTAGAGTCCGCCGGACTCGGCGTTCGTTGCATTGTCATATCTCGCTTCAGAATAAGCAAATTCTGAATATGAAAAAACTGTTCGATTCAGCTCGGCGAGGCGCATCATCCGGTGTATAAAAGTGCCACAATCTGCCGAAGTCCGTTAGGTATACGGTAGGCAGTAAATTTCCGCTCAATTTTGCGGATTTTCCTTTCCTTAGATTATTCAGTGTGCTGTTATCAACAACGCCATTGATTTGCTGCTGATAGAATATTGTACGGATACTGCTGGAGTATGGTAAAGAATCACTTTGAACTTTGATTGATTTGTTCTAAGTCCAGCTTAGAGTAATTCTGATGCGCTGATTGCGGTAGTAACATTCATTTAATGCTCAAAACCCAGCGCGCAAGGTATGCGAGGTAAGTCATTTTATTGTTTGCCAAACTTTCATTATTGTTGCTTCCACATGCCGCTCGTTCTAAACAGAAAGATCGCATGCAGCACTGGCGATTTGCAACAAAATGGTGTTATCAGATGCGCCTTAAAGGCAGTGTCCCACCAGACTGGGGATATCTGGCTCTCGTAATGATGTGATAGTAGACCCCCTACCTAAGCGATGACTGAAGTTCAGAGCGAAAAAGGGGGTCTACCAAGCCTGAAATTTGCTCCGAAAGTGGGCCGAATCTTACGGTAGGGCCGAACGCCGCCCACTCGGCAATATCGATTTGCAGGGCCAGATTGCGTATAGCGCACACATCATGAGCGCAGGGACCCGCAACGGCTCTGCGTCTCTACCTTGCATGCACCTCGCACTCGCCCGAGCCTACCGTAAGATTCGGCCCACGTTCGGAGCAAATTTCAGGCTTGGTAGACCCCCTTTTTCGCTCCGAACTTCAGTCATCGCTTAGGTAGGGGGTCTACTATTACATCATTACGAAAGCCAGGTACCCCCAGTCTGGTGGGACGCTGCCTTTAATGAGCTGATAGTCTTCTTTCCTTATATGTGGCTCTCTAGTAAAAGTTAAAAGCTTCTCTAAATTTCTCAAACAATTAGGGTCATACAACCAAGAAATATCGGTACAAGGACCCTTCATCATGTATGCAATAGAGTTTTTGCTCACTGCACTCAGTACACACAACATCATGCCCATTATGGTCCTTTGATGATCTTCGAAGTATATTATGCAGACGTAAAACCTTAATGAATCCATACTTGTAACGCCCATAGCTTCTCTCAGAGACTCGATCAGCAGCTACCAAGATCAGCAGGGGTGATCTTGAGGTCATTTTCTGTTCCACAGTAGCTAATAATCATTATGACGTCATGCTGTTGAGTACAATTGGCGTTGCTACTCAGCGCTCACGCGATTAAGCTGCGTATAATTTCGTGAGCACGTGCTTTCACCATAGCTTATCGCAGCGCACATTGCACATAGATAGCTTTGATAAGTATTTTTCAGTGGTGCTGTGCCCACATAACATCCTTGGTAGAAAATCACTTAAAGATTCCTCTCCGAAGCCGAGAGAAAAGGTGGTGAATTCTGGAAATATAGGACTAGAAACCAACAATTCACCGCAAATCTACAATAGCACCTAATTTTGCGTTAGTACCGTATTCTGCGCGCCATATTGCCCACCTAAATGAGTTTGGCATTGATTTGAGGTCTTCATTTACGTTCTGCGGACGGGTTTATGTAATACGCAACTCTAAGCTTTCTGAAGATGGGGGACCCTGTAGGCATTGCGATAGAACAGCCCCCTGTCTTTTGATAGCAAAGAAAAGCGCAGAAAGTCCTTTGCTGTGAGGGAGTGGCTAGCAAACTTAAGAGAAACCTATGTTCATCTGAAAACTGTCTACCGTAGCCCTACAGCAAGGAGCTATTTTGGAAATCAGATGTGATTTTCAGGATCAACAGGTCGGATAGCCCCTATGGGCAAACTTTCTGAAAAAATCGAGCCATTTGATTTTTTTTCGTTCCTCGTTGTCGAGCTCGCCGCATGTTTTGGCTGAAATACTAACGATTTTAATTAGACCTAAAACTTCGCTCACAAAGAATTTAGGCGGTAGCTAACTGAGTCACGCATACTTGCAAGTTTGCTGCATTTGCTGACGAATTTACCTGCGCAATCTTGTAGGTTGGAGTCTCTGTGACAGTACAGTTAGACCATGCTTTATCTATGCCGTTTGTCGGATTGTTGAATCTGTTGGATTTCTCATGTGTGAGATGAACTTAGTATCTGTGATTAGCGTGTTACACACTTGTGACACTTTTCCAAAAATAAGAGATTATTTGAAAAAAAAAAAACTCATGAGAGCGTGAATTTGTGAGCTCATAATCTGGGAAATAGTGCAGACGAGGGTATAGATAAAGCATGATCTGACTGTACTGTTTACGGAAACTCTAATTTACAAGAATGCACAGGCAAATTCGTCAGGAGACGGCGAGAAGGGTAGACAAACTTGCGAGCTTGCGTGACTCAGCTACCAGTTGCTGTAATTTTACACTAAAACCCCTTCGTCCAGAATGACTAAGGTTTTCGTAAACAGTGGGTCCTAAATTCTTTGTGAGCGAAGTTTTAGGTCTAATCAAAATCATTAGTATTTTAGCCAAAACATGCGGCGAGCTCGAGAACGAGGAACGAGAAAAAAATCAAATGTCTCGATTTCTTCAGAAAGTCTGCCCATAGGGGCTATCCGACCTGCTGATCCTGAGAATCACATCTGATTTAAAGCTCCTTACTGTAGGGCTACGGTAGACAGTTTTCAGATGAACATAAATTTCTCTTAAGTTTGCTAGCCACTCCCTCACAGCAAAGGACTTTCTGCGCTTTTCTTTGCTATTAAAAGACTGGGGGGGGGGAAGCTGTTCTATCGCGTGATGCCTACAGGGTCCCCCATCTTCAGAAAGCTTAGAGTTGCGTATTACATAAACCCGTCCGCAGAACGTAAATGAAGACCTCAGATCAATGCGAAACTCAGTTTAAGTAGGCAATATGGCGCGCAGATTACAGTACTAACGCAAAATTAGGTGCTATTGTAGATTTGCGGTGAATTGTTGGTTTCTAGTCCTATATTTCCAGAATTCACCACCTTTTCTCTCGGCTTCGGAGAGGAATCTTTAAGTGATTTTCTACCAAGGATGTTATGTGGGCACAGCACCACTGAAAAATACTTATCAAAGCTATTTATGTGCAATGTGCGCTGCGATAAGCTATGGTGAAAGCACGTGCTCACGAAATTATACACAGCTTAATCGCGTGAGCGCTGAGTAACAACTTTAAGTGTACTCTACAGCATGACGTCATAATGATTATTAGCTACTGTGGAACAGGAAATGACCTCAGGATTGCTCCTTCGATCATGGCAAAATGCATATCGTTAGGGGATGTCTTGATAAGGATGTCTTCCTCCTCCAGCTGCTGTTCGAGTAGCTTAGAGACGTTTTGGCGGTTACAAGTATGGAATCGTCAAGGTTTTACGTCTGCATGATATACTTTGAAGATCAATTTGAAAGACCATAATGGGCATGATGTTGTGTGTACTGGGTGCAAAGAGCAAAAACTCTATTAGATACATGATGAAGCGTCCTTGTACCGCTGTTTCTTGGTTGTATCACACTAATTGTTTGCGAAATTTAGAGAAGCTCTGAATTTCACTAGGAAGTCATTCAGCAAATAAGGAAAAAAGATTATCAGCTCATTGAGGCGCTTTTGATAATGCCATTTCATTGCGGATCGCTAGTGCGGCATGCGATCTTTCCGTTTAGAACGAGCGGCCATGGAAGCAACAATAATCAAAGTTTCGCAAACAATAAAATGGCCTTACGTCTCATACCTTGCGCGTGTGCTTTGAGCATTGAATGAATGTTACTACCGCAATCAGCGCATCAGAATTACTCTAAGCTGGAATGTTATCCACGAAAGTCCATAATGGAGGAAAGTGGACTTTCAAGCCCCGTTTTATTCGTTCGCGGTGGAGAGTTGTCGGAATCTGCTTTCGCTCGCGTTATCCAAAAATTTTCATCCCATCGCAACCACGAGGCAAAGCGGTGAAATGAAAATGTTTCAACCCTAACTGAGCTCTCGCTTGCGAAATGATGACGTCAAAAGTCCATTTAGCATGAAGCAAAATGGGATTTACCTCCATTTTGAATGGACTTGAAAGCCCATTTTACTTTCAGCAGCAAGGTGAGCTGGGACTAAGCCCATTTTTGACCTTTTTGCATATTTTTGATTGATTTTTTGGGAATGTGTTCCTCAACCTATCCTAAAGTAATAGGTGAGTGGAAAAAGTTTTATGTCTTTTATGAAGCCTGAAATGAGTGTTTTTTCTAAACTCATAGAAACGCTGTAAAACATAGAAAAAGATTAAATTCACCCAAATATTCGCTAACAAACCCAAATGCTTCTTAATATCAGGTCAATCAGAAAATTCTTATGTAAAACAAAGAAAGTTTGTTAACTCTTCAAATCATCAACCAAAACCAAAT